CATCATCGTCGCTTGCTTGGAAGTTTGATCTTGCAGCCATGACAGGAGAAAGGCGAAAACTTGGAAACCAGAATCCTTCCCAGTTGTAAAGATCAGAACCCCACCATGTTTCTTTAGGGAGTTCACCGAGCAAAGTAGAAGACATATTTGGAAAGCTAGAATCCATGACCGTGTTTGACAGCACTTTGCTTGCGGCGAAGAAATAGGCCGATCTCAGACAATAAAGAGAAGAAAGGGTAGTAAGTAAATGCTGACTAATGGAGGAAAACGAAGTGGCTAGCTATTAAAGAAACAATAAAGTTTTGTGTACTAATGGTGACTGGCGACCATGAATGTAAGAGAACCAGAAAAGATATGGTTAGCCGCCGATATGTCTCGTTAATTAGGCCATATGTATTCAATTATTGTTTTCACCGATCGAAAACGACAAGACGGCAACCACCCGAAGATCAATTTTAATTTTATGACAGGAGCAATTATGCAGAGATTGTGGCTATCAAAACAAGCTCTCGTCGTATTCATTGCATCACCCTTGGCAGGTACTGCTAATCTCATTATGGACTCTGATTCTAGGATTGCCATCTCTTGGGTTTGTAATGCTGATCAAAGACCATGGGATAAATGGGCCACTTTCAGCCAGATTGACTTGTCAATGTATCCATAGCCCATACCTGGCGTGAAGGGAACTCATTTTCTGATGCATTAAAAAAACATGGCATTGATACGGAATCTATGTTCTCAGTTTGGTGGTGACAAGATGCTCTACATGTTCATTGCTTCAGCCATATGTTATTTTGCAGGATGTAATCATATGTTAGTGCCTTTGTGCAACCATCAAGTTTAATCATGTAATCATGGATGGTTGATAGACCAATCTTGATGTATACTACATCTTACATCTTAATCACTTAAATCCTAACTTGGGTGAGCAAAAAAAATATATTATAGAACCGAACTGATAGAAAGGTTTGAATAAGAGAGATTCATACTATTTACATATGAAGCGATCAAACAAACAAAACTGTGCATTTCACCTTCATTTATCAGATATGAAGTACATTTACAAGATCATAAGAGTTCATTCCCATTTGGATTGAATCTTATGAGTGTGCCTAAAGTCACACCTCAGCACCAAAGTTCCATCCATTCTTCTCAAATTAAAGCTCTCCACCAACATGTAACAGGCAAATCTCCTCCACCCACTTTCACTTCCAATTTCTTCTTCTCTTTCAACCCTCACTTCACTCTCTCCTCCTTCAAACCAACCTCCCTCCTCTTGTAACCATCTCATTTTCTCCATGATTGCCAAACTCAAACCAACACTGCCCCTTCCCCCATCGTTTCTTGTTAGAGTTCTGAACCACCAAAACCCTCCATGGCTAATTCTGTTATCCTTCTCAGCTTGCATACCATAGACTGAAGTAAATTCTCTTTTCACAAGTTTACTGATATTCACAATATTTTCTTCATCGTTCTCATTGTCACATGAATGAATCTGTTGCCACCATTGCTCAAGTGTCATCTTGTAGAACAATGATTTCTTCATTTGTCGCCTTAGTCTACACTCCTCCCTCACAAATATAAAGGGACAGTACCATTGTCCGACAACAACAGAAAGTGACTTCTTGTTATACATAGGGAAATTGAAATTTGGAAGGCGTGTTCTGAGAGATGAATCAAGGCCTAGAGCCTCATTTAGTTGCAATCTATATGACCTCGAGATGCGAAGTTCCCATCCATTTTTTCTTAAAAATTTTGGAGGAATAGAATCAGTAGCAGTGGATTTAGCGAAGAAACTATGCCTGTGGTGGCGATGGATCTTGAAATGTTGATAAACATTTCTGTGATCAAATGGTTTTGGTTTTGCATCGCTTATAACATCACTGAAGAAGCAACATAGTTTGGTGTCTATCTCCCTTGAACTTGAACATGCTAGCCTGCAAATTTACAACATAAATAGAACTATATATTAATTAGAAGCCAAATACAATAGTTTCTACTTACTATATACATGCAATCAAGCAAACATATCAATGCAAATTTATGTGGCTCAAACTTTGAACTTAAACTGAAGTTAAATTACATAAAAACTAGCACATTTTGTTCCAAGCTGAATACCAAGTTTAGGTGAAATTTTCTCCAAGTAGTACAAAACGTAGATTTCATGCCCCAATTACACTCCCTACTAAGGCAGTCCAGCTTCCAAGTACACATTTCCTGAATGATCCAGGGTTTATCTATAAGGTTACTTGTAATTTAAAGTTCAAAAAGGTGACTTGGATTGTTGATTAGTATAGCTCTATAAGAAAGGGGAGCATACCCTTTGTATCTGCCTCTGGCTCGAATAACATAGTATCGATTGGAAGATAGAGGCTGATCAAGAACTGGGATAAACCAGACCCTAGTGACCGTAGTCTCTTCAACCTCTGATGCATGAACAACATTCAACATCTTGTCTTGAGGAAAAGGTAGCTTTTCAACACCCTTCCTCTTACATGCCCCAAAACAAAAGGTGTCTTGCTCTTGTGCTTCTTCATCTGTAATCACCAGATAACCTGAATAAGGACCTTCTGCAGGTGGCTCTGCTTCAAGAGCACTAGGAGACTTCCTGTATAGAGAAAGAGGCCTTGTTACATACATCAGAACACTTTAACACTGCCTCTCCCTATGTTCTGAGGTGGCCTGAGGGCCTGAGGGGGTCTTTGTTTATGATTGTTTCCTTATACATTAAGCTATAAAAGTTGTTTTGCAATAGAAAACTGAATTATTTGATTGATCTACACAAACAAGGACTGAGCACATGGGCCTTGATCTTCATGATTTCTTTTTTTGTTTTTAGTGGAAGCAAATGAAAAGCAGCAAGAAAGGTTGACAAATGGTGACCCCAACTTTAAATGACTAAGCATAGATAAACTAGAGGGTTCCACGAGACGGCAAAACAACTAATGCTTTAAACTTGCTTTCTTATCCACTCTTTTTTGTGTTGCACTTGCTTTTGCTGATGTATTACGCATATGCAACTTACTGATTGGAAAACAAATACAGACCTAAAAAAAGAATAGGCAATGCCAAAGCACATTTTATCTAGAAATGCGTACAAAAAGAGAAAAAAAAGGGAAAGCAGTGCTTGCTTTGTTATATCTTCTTTTATCACGCTTGTTTAATTCCAAACTTTACCTAAAAAAAGAGACATGAGAAGAATCGGGACATTATTAAGGATTTACAGTTTTGGAACTAGATGATGCCAATGTTTACGTCGTGGGATATTTGGATCAGGCAACGACGAGAAGCCAAAAATTTCACCCGTGATGCAAAATCAGAGCAAACTAGTTCATTATTTCGTTCAAGACTGTTAAGTTAATGGACAGGTCAGTGGATAGTAGCACTCTGCTTCAGCAGACAGTAACAAAGATAGGAGCATGCTTTGCTCGGTACAGTATGGGATAAGAATTAGTTGTGAGGGCAAAGAGAACTGTCTCATGAGTCATGACTATGCTATCTGTAAGAATGTTGAATGGTTTTATTACAAAGCAGTCTCCATGCCCATCTGCAAACCAGGTTTCCACCTTTAGCCAGTGTCTTGTACTGACTTCAGGCATGAGCTTCAGGCTGTTGGGTTGTAAGTGGCACCCCTGCATGAATCCTTTAAGCTCCTCCGTGTGAAAAATAGAAGTTCCACTTCGACGGCATTTTTCCTCGGAAAATCTTGGTGAATTTTTTCCTCTAGGGGAGACGACACAATCTAAGAGGAGAAGATGTAGACTTATTTACGAAAAGATTAAAGAAAAGGGGAATATGAGCAACCAGAGACAGCTGAAGGGCCTAGAAGTATAACAAGCAGCTGATATGGCATCCATATATTGTACTAACATGGCTCTTGTCATGGACTTTCTATTACTCTTCACAGAGTCAATTGGCTCTGAAATAATAATCCACATGATTGAGCTGTAATGTGCAACAATAAATTGAATGCTGACACCCTTAAATACAATCCTTTATTTTGTTTACTAAAGAGAACAATCGCTATCGTTTGCTGGCACTGGCAGCAGGTGAGTTAGCCTCCACTCGAGCACATGACTCAGATTATGAAAAGGGTGATGCAGGTATAAGTATCAATTTCCATGAAACCAGAACTCAGAAGAAGCTTGGAAAATTGTTGATGATTCGAGGGCATATAGTCATGGTTATTTTTCAGATCAGAAACACATTATTTAGAAACTCAGAGGTTATCCAGGAAAGATCTCTACCATCTGACCATGAAAGTTACGCATTTAATTTGAGAAATCTTTTAATAATTTCCATCATCTGTCCACCTGGAAACCGCCCAAGACATCCCCTCGCTGCTGCAATCTCATTCAACTCAAAAACTGAATCACCACAAAAGGCTTGAACTTGCTTGCATCTTCTCCCTTTTTCTAAACCAATGTCTTCATTTAGGTCTTCACCTGCCTTAACAGTTGGAAGAGGAAATGGATCAAGGGAAGTCTCCAAAACAACAGACTCCCCACCTATTGCACCCACATAATCTTTCAACTGGCACATTGTAAATGGAACTGGTTCAAAACTGTGGTCTCCATATTCTACAGGAGTAGAGTGGTCACCAGTGACACAAACAAAATACTGGAAATTCCCAGTTGATTCTGCCTGCCACAGGAGCTTAGCCAGCTGTCCTATAGCTTGATCTACAGCTTCCAATCCTTTTCCTTTGAAAACACTTGCCTTATCGTGACCTGCATCATCTATCGCCTGCATTATTTGGAATATCAATGAAATTGCATTACTTAATGACATGGAGAACTTTGTACATAGGTTTTCAGAACTACCATAACCATCAGACCTTGTTAACAAGGACAGAAGCCAAACATAAAGGCAAAGAGAAAGAAATAAACCAGTTTTCATGATAAAATATTCAGAAAGTCAAATGATTTCCATTATTTATCATACCCAGATACCCTGCCACTTTGAAATGAGAAGGTTTTTTCTTTTTTTTTTCAGGCAACATTGCAGAAAAGGTCCTCACTTCCATGAACAATAAATCAGGACTAAGTTTAACTTAGATCATCCCAGGTATCTCCCAACCAAGATTATATATTACAGTGGCATCAACCCTCAAGGGATGCAAACTCAAGGAAAGAAAATGGCGAAATTGAAGAAAATAATAGTGTATACGGTCCAGGAGACAGCTAAATACAGGAAACACTAATAAAGGCCAAAAATAAAGACTGATTCGTAAGGTCATCACCTTAATGTGGAGAAACCCAAAATCATAGCCATATGATCTACCAGGCTTGTGCTCATCCTCCCCTGGTACAAAAACACTAGGGCAAGATTGTAAAGGAGCAGAAAGTGCCTTAGCTATCGCAGTTGCTTTTGAAGTCAGAAGTGTACGATAGTCCCCAGTTGCACCAGGAGCTTCTAGGATGTCAATATGAAGGGATAGGCCCAATCCAGCAATAATTTTGGTGGGAGCCACCATGCAAGGCCACAAGCCATGTTTCTTTTCAAATGGAGGAACCTATAATGCATAATCAGAAGAGATATTTCAATAAAGCCATTTATCGGTATCTTATTACAGAAAGAAAGAAGTACACCAACTAGCAAAATGCAAACAGTTTTTCTGCTTAAGTGTTTTTCTCCACATTCCAAGATTTAAGGACAACACACCTCGATTCGAATACCACAGCCTCTCAAAAGGACTGCATTAGCGATGTTCTTCCCTTCTGCTAACCTTTTTGCATTCAAAGGGTGAGAAACAAGAATCCTTGAAATCTCCTTGGATAACTCATTAACAACTGCAGCTGTGTGTCTTGCTTCATCTGTATCATCTAAAGCCTTGGCTTCCAGAAGTAAGCGGTTGTCCTTCAATGGGTCAGTTCCTGATATATTTCCGCTCAGTCTTGGTCCTTTAACAACAACTCCGCATCGGTGTTCTGTTGCATACCTGTAAGAGATGAGTAAATGACTTAACATTAAATTTTTTACAACAGAAATGTAAAGCTTCAATCCTTAACAGAGTTCACAGAGAAATCAAGCCTTTCTTGTAACCATCTAGCCTAAACAGTATAAAAATTTCTGCTATGACATTTTCCAGGTTCAAAATTGCAATCAAAGGAAAGTCAAAAACCAAAATGGCCATATAAAATTAAAAACATTGTTGAGTAAGCTCAGGTATGGTACAGAACCAACTGCAGGAATATGACTACGTTAACTGACAATTACAGCAACTAAAAAACATCTGTACCTGACTCTTACTTCGTACTCAGGAAAAGATGGGAGCTTCATTCTATCCAGGGCAGCACAAAGGATAGGCCCCTCTTCTTCAAAATGCCTGTCAGCTCTCCTACTCGTAACTATGCCAGTTTTCTCATCCAAGGTTGCAAAATTTGACTGGAGACAGATAATTGTAATGGGTAATCATGTATAAAAAGTACCATCAAGGTGTTCTGAAGAAGATATATAGAACTATAACATATTAACTGGTTGGCAACAAAGAATAAGGAAAATCTTTAAGAAAATCATCCCTCTCATGTAAGTGATTAAGTTAGGAAATCATATGTGGAAAGAAGAAAGAGACTCAGTTTAATAGTTCTTAGGGGAAATGGAGATGAAAGAAGATGTAAGGTTTGCAAGTTAAAAATTGTATAGAATCAGCTCAGGCAACAAAAGTTATTAATATTAAATCAGAAAATAAAACAAAAGCTCCTAACCAAAGTTTCTTCATTCATATAAAAAATGATATCCACATTAAACTTAAAGCTAGGATGTTGAAATTCTTGAACCATAATTCTATAATCTGTACTTTGGATAGTATCAAATTATTTACCAACATGAGTTATACTTAATAATGGTTGAATACAGAAATAGTATGAGCAAATAATATGCCAAGAAGTGCGGGCAAGAAACAATGGGAAAAAGAAAAAATAGAGCCAAAACAGGTTACACACCTTGAATGCAATATCTCCAGGTGACATTGCCAACCCAGCACCCATGGACTCAAACGCACCACGTCCTCGGTAATATACTCTTGGATCATATCCCAACAGAGAAAGGTGAGCCGTGTCACTCCCACAACCCAAACCTACTTCCACTGGGTCCATGAGGCCATTAACTCCAGCTGATGCTATGGCATCCAAGTTTGGAACATTGGCTGCCTGCAGAGGAGTCTTATACCCAAACCTTGGTATTGACACGTCACCCAATCCGTCAATCAGCACAAATGCCACTCTTTGCTTTGGCTGCTGGGGACTGCCCATACTTCTGTATGTCTACCTTTATGCCTTATTCTGTTTACAGGCAGTGAACAAAAATGAAGTTGATAAATAGCCTACTTCAGTATGGTGAGTCAAGGAGTTTAAAGTCAGCAAAGCAGCCTGTTCCTACAGGAAGGAAAGATGCTCCAAAGCTTCAAGAGAATCTAAAAGAATTGTGATTTTATGCATACCAAACACCTGACAAATATAAAGTAACTGGCTTGATCAAAGTAATATCAGTTTGTCATTGTTTTTTGAAGTTAGAAATTATCAAAGTGATACCAACCAAAGAATTGTTTTTGAAGTTATATAAAAATGTGGCATAAATATCAGTTAGAAAAAAAAATAGAAATTGAAAAGTGTGGCAATTCAATCTACTTAATAAAAATCCAAGAAAACATTTTGACCTCAAATTGTAGTCTACTGCACATAAGCATTCAAATTTAATTTCCTATCTTGAAAGGTAAAAACTGGCATAGACTTTTCGCGAATAGTGACATATAGACAGTGAATTCACAAAATTGAAGCCAAAATACAAAACGGGCATCCCTCCTACTATAAGCCAAGATCAAGTAAAATTCAGAGCAAAGCTAAGAAGACATGCAAAAAAAAAAACAACAACAACAACAACCCATTAAAAAGTGAATTAAAACAAAACCCAATAAGCAGAAAAATAAAAAGAGAGAGAATTTATTATTACCTGAATAAAATAAACTTCAATGGTGATTAGCGCGAGCTTTCTTGAGCTGAAAATAATGATTAGAAGAAGAAGGAGGAGGAGGAGGTGATCTGGGTTTATCTCGAAAGGAATCGTTTAAAACTAATGTTTCTTTGTTCTATTGATCACTGAAAGGGCAATGGAGGTCCAGAATTCGATGCGAAAGGATGGGTTCTTTTCCTTTTTCTTTTTTTTTTTAAAAATTATTTCTGAGAGAATCTCAGGTGGCAGAAAAGAGAGCAGATATTACGTTACGTGTAGGCTAGCTCTTCCGTACGTTGGGTTGGTTTAAGGTTTTCTGTTTTTCCTATTTCAAAAATCTCTCCAAACTTCAAATAATATTTAAAAAAAAACAAAAAAAACTCTAAAGTGTTTTAAAATAAATATTAAGAAAGTAACTATAAAAAAATCTTAATGAAATGTGTATTTACAAATAAAGTAAGAATCTATTTATAAATTAATAACTTTTAATTTTAATTTAATTTTATTTAAAAGTTTAAATCATATTATATGTCTTATATCTTACTTATTACGTTATTTAACTTGATCTACACTTCTTGGGTTATAACATAATGGGCATTCACATATTTATTCATAACACTCTCTTTTGAATATTCATTATATTAAGAATATACCTCATTAAAACCTTACAAAAAAAAACCTTATAGGAAAAAATCTAAATGAAGAAAAAATAATACATAATTCTTTTCAAGAATACATTTTTGAAATACTGTTTTATTAAAAACTTATCAAGAAAAACCTGTGAAAAAAACCATGATACATAAAAAAGTATAATGCGTATTTTATTTCTCCCTATAATTTTATTATTTAATATCTTTAAAATAGTGCATTTTGATATTTTGTATCAACTTTGCAAATGTTGCAATAGGAAGGATTTTAGTAAACAAATTTGTTAAGTTGTCACTTGAATAAATTTATTGAACACTAATATCACTTTTTTTTTTTAGATCATAAGTAAAGAAGAATTTTGACATAATATATTTTGTTCGATTACCTATAGGTGGCGTTTGGTACATTACAATGCAATGTGATTACAGG